GAATAGATTATTAAATATTAAATTATGCCTTTTCCATTCACTGCACAGGCCTGCCTATATTGACTTTGATGAAATGACAGTCGACGGACCTCTTGTTAACTTGAGTATACGGCGTAATACGCTGCTCTCCCAAAACCAGAAAGAAGTAATGGGCTGGTACTACAAAGATAACCATCGCTGGTGCGAATATGGATCTCAGGTAAGTGGTAATAGATATCTCTCCAAATATTTATTTGGAATAACGCAGCTGCAAGTTAAACCAACACTAAATATAACACACATTTATAGCCTTTATTTTGCTTTCTCTCTAATTTCTGTAGGGATCGGGTAGGAAGTCATCCTTGATTAGAAGCGATTTTATAGAGCAGCAGTACAACAGTAACCCAAGGGGCTCAGTTCAGTTTACTGTAGGAAGCATGACGTACATGGTGGACTTCACCGGTAAGTAGACAAATGAGGTTGACCTTCATGGCTACGACACAATATTTTAGTGTATTTCTCTTGAAATGAAAAGTTGCCAACTTGCCTGTGTTTGAAATTGTTTTAATGTGTTTTTATTTTTGGGGAATGTTGTAGCCATGACTCAAACCAATATGTCCACACGCATGTTGAGGAAAGTGAGACGGCGGCCGAAATTCAATGAAGTAGTAACAGACAACAGCAGTAATCAAAACAGGTATTGCTTTATTAGTTCTAGCTGTGACTTATTGCCTCTCATTTGGCTTTGCTCATGAAACTGTATAATGAGCTACTGTGTACATTACTGAAAATACATTCTTATGTAAATCATTGCATTGAAAAACTATCATTTATGTTAGAATGGGTTTGCAAAGTCTTATATCGTAACATTGTTTACACTCTTCAGGAAGTCAACCTACAAATTGTTTTACACATTTGTGTGTGTGTGTGTGAAGCTATTCTTATATAAATTATGCATTTATGTACAAATGCTTTAACTTTTGTAGTGTAAGTATTTACACTCTTCAGGAAATCACCCTATAAATGTATAAATTGTTCGTAAAAACTTAGTGTAGTATAAATTGAATGTGTAATTTAA